AGTGCTTTTGCAGTTGTATAGAAATTACCAACCTAACAAAAAAAAAATCCAACATCAGCACGAGAAAACAAGCAAATTGTACCGGCTACGCATTAGTACATGCTTCCGCCACCATCACACAATAGCGAGGTGGCGGCGCCACTGGCGCAATGCTTCAATATATCGAAGAAAGTAGAAAGTGGTTGTAGTACTTCAATATTTTTTCGATAGATGGCGTTGGTGACCAGTTTTTCAAATTAAGTATCAATAAAATTGCGAAATCTCTGTATGATGTCAGTAAATATTCATGTCGTGTTTATGAGTGACACTATGTATTTGACTATGTAGGTTTACCATGATTTTGTAGGGTATGCAGTGCTTATTTGCATATATGGTGTGCACGCCACTGAACTAACATACAAAACAATTAGTAGATACAACGTATGTTAATAATCAATAAAAACTATAATTGGGTTACAAATAATAATACCAGCTAACGGTCGCGGGTTCGTCTCCCGCGTCGTGCATAGCGGAGGAAATAAACGTCTGTCAAATGTTTCTCCGGATTGTGCTCCTCCGGTATTCGCTTGATCATCGTTTCGGAGTGACAGATGTGTGTCTGTCTTTATGTAGGCCATCTCGAAAACTGCTGGGTTGTTTTTGAACAATTTCATGACTTTGATCTGATGCATCATGAGTATGGAATCTGAAAATCGTATTTTTTTAAAATTATGATTACTTTGTGTTATTGTCGTTACCTTTTTGAATTGGAATTCGAAATTCGTAAAATAGTTGCAAAAAATTTTCCAAGAACACAAATGCGGTACAAAATAGCTGATGAACTCCTCTTTTTATAGAAGAAAAGAGATGTTGGAGAAGATCATCAATTATTCTACCAACCTCAGGATGTCATCCACAATGTGTTCCGGGAATGGGCAGTCTGGGTGCATGTAAACACCCCAACGACTCAGGAAAATTCCTAACAGGGTAGAAGTTAGGTGCTTAGGAAAAAATGAAAAGACTTCGTAAAGGCCCATATACCTCTAATATTATAGGACTATTGTGTACAAAGAAAGTCACAAATGCGTGTCAATCAAGTCTGTGATCAATTAAAGCAGTAGTTTATGAAAATAAGCAATTTATTCAAATCGTCAGCGACCAGCTTGCAGGGCGTGTCCTGACGCAATTATACGAATAATTATATTTATGTGAATGCCCGCAGCCCGGCTAGTGTGGAACCAACCTAATGTATGCGTTTTATAGAAACGGTTAGTATTGTTTGTGATTCGGTAATAATTAATATATAAATATTCATAGCAATAGATAGTAGAGACAATGGACACCCAGAACCAGAAAAGTTGCTAGTGCGTTGCCGACCTTTCGGGGAGGTTGTAATAGGCCTCTTCTGGTGAGGGTACTCACATGATGAAACCAAACGTCGCGAGAAACACTCCGGGCGTCGGGGATCGCGAGACAATCTCCGGCCACTGACAGCACAGGCCTACGTACGGCGAGCACGGGTAACTCGGCGCCCGACCAGAACAAGGCCTGAGCGTACGGCACGTCGCGTTCCGCGCGCGGCTCGAGGAGCCATCAATCAGGCACCACAGATGGTGCCCAATAGGGCTGATGCCGATACGGAGCCGCGGAGAACCTAACGGGTTATCGGGGCTCCGGCTCAAAATGCAGGAGTAGGAACGGGGTGGTTTTTAGTCAGGAAGAGTCTGACACTACTTCCCGCCCTGACCCGAGCGGGAGAAGACATTGGATGATTATCCCTCCTCAAAAAAAAATCTTCTCTTGGCATTAGTTATCTGTAAGACTGTTATTATTCAGATCGATTTGACCTATTCGTATCGCAGCATGGCTCTCCCACATAAAAGGCTGCTGCCAACTAAAACTATGAGTCCCATGTAATTGGGGGCCTGTTCCCATATACCGGGCACAATTCCAGAATCCTTGCTACTACTAAGAATTTTTTTCAAAACCAATTTATACTATGCCCGTCCCCACCAGTCGGCCAACGAGGCAGTCCATTTATTCATCAACATACAAAATCATATCTCCAAAAATTAATACAATAATCGTACAACTATACACTTCCCGCATCCTCCACCCCACACTACTTGATGGAACACAAAGCTCATCAGATAAGAGCAAATGTTCACGCCTCTGCGCATGCGCAGTAATGGGCAGCCCACTACTGGGCAAGTAATTGTCACGGGCAAACTATAATTATAATTTGTATAATTGTGTTACATGATTACTGACGAGGATCGTGTCAATTTATTTGAATTTAACACTTGTAATCTGTTTGGGACATTTTTCTGTGAACCAGCGTGGTCATGGCACATTTCGTTAGGTGATTTTTAGTGATGAAAACAGGAACAAGCCTGCCACCACCTCTCAAAATGACTACAACGCCTATAAGCCAGGATCTACAGTAGATACAACCATGAACACACCGAGACAATAAAATCCAAGGACATGGCTATCTTGGTTCTGGCAACGAAATTAATATTGGAAGGTCTGTTTTTATAGAGGTAATAACTATCGTACGTACTAAATTAACTAAAGATCGCGGGTTAACAACACCAACGCAAGCGCCGACGCTAGCCAATAGGCTGCGCGACATCACCGCGATTGCGCACGTTGCACATAAGGCCCCTCTGTGGTTCGAAACTAGTAGAGCTTTTTTCTGTATTCTCACGTGACTAGCTCGCGATTTTTTGTTCATGTAAGGTAGACAAGACTGACTTTCTTTTCAATCTTCAAGTTAAACCTTTTGATTGACCTTGCAATATAAAACCTAAGGTGCTTCTATTCCTACGCTGAACACCACTTCGTTACGACCACCTTTTTTACCTGGAACACCAGAGGTGTTACTAGTGCGTTACCGGCCTTTTGGGGATTAGGAGTTCGAGAATCGTTGGGGATTCAGGAATTGGGGAGATTCGAGAAGGGGAGGGTAATTGGGCCTCCGGTAACCTCACTCACATGACGAAACACAACGCAAGCGTTGCTTCACGTTGGTTTTCTGTGAGGCCGTGATATCAACAATTTTAAATAATTCCGAGCTGGAAGCTGTTCTTTTTTGAGAAACTTCGTTTAAGAGACTTCTTGTTAATTCTATGCGCCTTCAATGGATACGCTATAATTCTGTACACCGATGGGGTAAGCAGATAAGGGTAGCTCCCCACATCACCTGTAGTTCCAACACATCCACGTTTTACGACCATTCCACATTAACTGTATTAACTGACTTTTGATACTTTATAGCCCTTTAAAATGTTTCAAACAAAACTTTTACCTCGTAAAATATAAGCTGAGTTATCAAAAAATGCATTCTAACTGATTAAGAAGTGAAAATATATTAAAGGTTTAGTTTTCAGACTGCAATTGTTTGGGCTAATAGTTATTACAAATTTAATTCATTGCAATAATTCTAATCAAATTTAAATTTAATAAATGTATACAGCTTAAAATATAACTAACTAAAAAAAGAAGCATATATATGGTCGAATGGAGAACATCCTCCTTTTTTTGAAGTCGATTAAAAACTAAAATATTTAATGGTATTTTTTGGTCTAATTGATTTATGGAACTCTCCTGGCGATTCCTACGAAACCTTAGTCTTATTCTAACAGAATTTATTATGTTAGAATAAGACTAACTGTAATTTATCCTGTTTCCACCAACCTCTTCTAATTTGTAAGGACTCCTAGGCTAAGATAGGTGACATTTAATGACATTTTGGGTTTACCAATCTATAAGTGACACCTAACAGTACAAGTAAGGGTTATTTTAGGTAGTATGTCACGCGAAGTAACTTTTAGTTAAGAAGTTTGGGGGTGGTTTGTGAAAACTACTATTACCACATATAATTATATTCTTCTAACCCCATTCATGACAGTAAACACAGAGCAACATGAGCCACATCGCTCCTCATTCTGTACTGAATTATGTCATCTCCAGCAGAGTTTGAGTTAATCTTTCCAATTTGCTGTAATATGTTTCAATGAGTAAATAAGCGAACGAAATAAAAAGCAATGAAAACAGGCGTCGGCGCGAGGGAGTCCGTCCAAACAAACCGAGTTTGTGGCTGTGTGCAGATTGCGATGCGCAGGCGACGCGTGCCGGGCTCCGCTGGACAGGAGTCTGCAACTTGCAGCCCGATCTATAGATCACAATAATTACAGTTTGTCAAATTATGTATACTGACTGAAAAAGGATCAGTTTCTCATTAACTCGGAACTTATCGAAGAATTCTAATTCTTAGGAAATATGTACCTTATTTCATTAACTATTAATTGTACCTACTTACTTGTGAAAAGAATCATGAAGTCAACGTCAAATGCCCTGAATATCATACATTCGTAACATGCTGAAAGAAGTACAAAAATCTAACTTGTAGTAAGTGTTTGCACTCGGGTAAGTCAATCGCTATAATTAAATCGCTTGCTTCTTGTTTACCTACCACCTACCAACAATACTTTCCTTCCACACTTCAAATTAAAACAAAAATGTTGTGCGCCTCGCAGTGGCATGAGCGTCCGCGCTCCAATTGCACCAGATTATTGAATCAAGTGCTTTCTCAGCTGGTGACCCCTGGCCCGGCTTAACTAACAGCTGTACTGATGCATATGCTATGCAGTGTGCACCATACGACCGCCACTTTATTGCCACTGCCTGCAATGTTATCTGGTCGATATGATTATTGACTGTAATATACATATTTACAAAAAAAATCTGACAATATTGGATGAATATTAAAGCATTGATAGGATTCTTTCTGTGGCTAATGAGCTATAATAAGCTTGCACTAAGTTTAGTAATAAATGTTCTATATCTAACAACTCACCTTCCTCCAAAAAGGCATCACCGACATAAAAGCTGTTCTTCAATAATAAAGAAAACACTAACCATCTAATAAATTAACCATGATTACCGATTTATTTCATTTAAACATGATCATTTGAACCTGATTAACAACGAGTTGAATCGAATCGTTTTATTACATTTCATTTTCTTCGACATGGCATTTTATTGCAGGGAGTTCTGTCAGTGCCGTGGTCCAGGACTCGCTCTGACATCAGCACTTTCTTCGGCATCTTGATGTTGTGCACTACGGGAGTGTGACGCCTGCAGGCTTTAGCTCCACAGGTCCTCCTGGCAACCAGCTTCGGGATCGCGACAGTGTAGGGGCCCCTCGTCGTCTCCGTGAAATTGTCCTGAACATATACCCTATCAGGTGGATCTACGCAATGCTTGTGATATCTAGATTCGTTCCTGTGCGAGTGAGGAATATGACTAATTCTGGAGGAGCTCGATATCAAAGTCCTGCTACTACATCTAGGGGAAACAGGAACATTCCTTGCACATGGAGCGAAGCGACCCGTCACAACGTCGCTAATGCCCTCATTGTAAATATTCTTCCTCGAAATTATTTCCTCACAATCGGAACTCTCGTCCCGTTCTTTTTTAAAAAAGCACTTTACAGACTTAGTTTTATTGCACGGCTCGAAATCACAAAAAGTTTTCTTCTTCGTGCAGTTCAAGCAACCTCTCTTTAGGATTGGTGAAGGGACATTCCGGCCATGTATATTTTTACAATGGTCGTCTATAAGAGCGAACATAGACGAACAACATGGCGCTACCGCATCGGAATATATCGGAGTCGAGGGAATAGGAGTCCGACCACACGCGACATCATGCACATTCGGCGTCATCGTGCACTGGTCACAGAAGGTCGTGATGTTGCTCTTAAACCTTCGCGACTTGTTACCCTTCCTGCCGGGACAGTTCAGTGATGAGCAGTTTGCACATTTGCATATGTACGGGGGAATTTCCATTCTTTCTGTATAAGAACCTTGAGGTGAAATATTCATGGTGGGCGGGCACCACCGTGGACACTGGACGAGAGACTGGTAGGTAGGGATTACGTACGGTACTTTTAGAATGGGCACTTTGTTGACGTGGGCTCGGTGGGATGTGACCGAGTGGGGCGGCTCTAGATGTTTGCCTCGGGAGTAGGACGCAGACTCTCTATGAGAATGGTCTTCGCACTTGCTGACTAGGTGGTTGATGAGCCTCGCCCGCGAGCTCTCCACCGCCATGCGCTCGACATCGTCGCTGCTCAGTAGCAACGCTCGCCTGCGACTGCCGCGACTCTCGTACTCATCTTCCACATGTTTCCCTTTCCGAGATTTCTTGCTTTTACCGATTTTGACTTGCTTGTGGGTCATAACGGTTGAAAAGTTTTGACTTTTAAAATTTTAAGTGACCATCTTTGCGATGTCACTCGGTGACAGACTCTCTGAAGAGGTTTCAACAAAAAGTTTGCTCACTTCACGTAAGTGTCCAAACAGAATGTTGTCTTAAAACACTTTATAAACAGCTGAGGCGGAAACACCTAGTTGATCGCGAACCACTTCAATTCATATCCTTGTGACAATAAAGGATTGAGTAACATATTTCCTTACAAACTTTTTGCTAACAAATTGCTCAATTCTCAACCTTATTTAATGTAATTGAGAACAATATGAAAACATGCGAGCTGCAAACATATGTTGGCAGGGAGTGATGAATCCAGGCCAAGATAAATTGGCCTCCCCCCCTCCCGGTCGTCTTGCGTACGTCGCCCGGCAAGGGGAGATATCGGTCCAATTTAAAGATCTTATATCATAGAGGGAGCGAAGGCAGATGCGTGCAATTGTCCGAGTCAAAGATCAGAGGAAGTGGCTGCGCACGCGCCGGCCAGCTGCGACACTCGCGTGATCTCGTCGCGGATTGGTTAATTATTCGATATTTGTCACGTTGAGCAGATGAGATCATGATAATTAAGTAGGAGAATTAGCAAAGACTGGCTGCTATCTTACCGGTTTTAGTCATAAACACGATACCCTGATGAAGTTCGGAAGTAAATTAGAGGTTCATGTGTACTAGTGGTCACGTATCAATTGTTATCTTTACTAAGTAAGTTAATGAGCGAAGAACACGTAGTGTCCAATAAAACAGGGATCGAGTGACAAAGAGACGAGCGAGCAATAAACCACGTGATATAAAGCACACGGTGGGCCCACATTAAAATTACTCCACGATAAACATATACGCAGTGTAGGGTTTTATTGACCATAAAATAATGTTATGTGTCCATTCTAGATAGTTAGACAGCTTCTAAAACAATTAGTGGTTCTGTTATTGGGGTGTTATGAAAGTGGTGTCATGATACCATTTTAAAAGGGCGCTTTAGGGTTGGTAGTACTGTGTCTCAGAACAAGAGAGATGAGTCAATCAAAACTATAATTCTAAAAGCATTTTATGAGAAGTGAGGACGAAATGAAGAGAGTTATAAGGTAGGACTTACTAGATTCATTTCCCTAGAAATTGTCACTATATTTTATATCGCTCGTCAAAGTTTTCCATATCCACATTTGCAATTTTATAATATGTCCGAGTTCATTTGTGGATCGACCAATGTTATATTTATTTTGTCAGAAGAACAAGCCTTAATGCCACTGTACAATGTAACACTAGTTTTCATTACTTACGTTATGAGTCCCATGTAATAGGGGATGAACCTATTGCTATATACCGGGCATATTTCCAGACTCCGTGCTACTACTGAAATTTTCAAAAACCAAATACTTTGCCGACCCGGGAATCGAACCCGAGACCCCTTGCCCGGCAGTCGCACTTGCGACCACTCGGCCAACGAGGCAGTCAAGGACAAGCTAATACAATTACTAAAAACAAAAAGTTATTATGTCCCTTCGAACGGAAGCCAAGTAATGCCAACGACTTCCATAAAACCCAAGATTTCGTCTAAGCTCGTATAATATAATTAACTAATGCACTTTTGATTAACGAGCCGAACACCTCCACCCATAGGCAACAAAACTATCTAAAAACTAAAATAAACTTAAAATTGCAACGTAATTTATTACATGATAGTCACCTCTGATAAACGGTACTAAAATCTTTTATTACTATTAAAAATACAATAAAAAACATTGACCAAACAAAGCTTTCTCGTGTAAATAAACTTTTTGAAAACAGTGGGAACGTAACGTTTTGAAACTTGTGCTTTGCCATTAAAAATGTTATGGGAGCCATCAATTTAATACTGTCGCCGTAGTTTTAGTACACAGTTTTAATTTTTGACATTTATTACTTGGAACTATGAGAGCTGTGTCTTGTGTGCGTGGTAGAAGAACTTCTTAGGTCGTACCATTCCTGCTAACTACGTAACTACGTGGTACAAAGAGCTAGGATACAGTTTGGAGACCGTCCCCTTAACAAAATTGTAGCTATTTGAAATAAGCAGTTATCAAGTACTGTCCTCTGTAACCATTAATCAAACTGTTAAGTTAAACAACTACAATTGTTTTCAAAACCGAAGACAAATGAACGAAAGCACAATTTACCCGTGAAGGTACTGTCGACAAAACTAACCCTCACACCGCGGCCGGGTACGAAAATGACCCCGATAACATCTCAACACTAACAAACGCGTTACAATTGTTAACGAATGTATATTTTCGTAATAAAGACTTCATACAAATTACATACGGTAATTATGCAGTTGTATGAGCCCTTATTCTGGTAGTTTTAAGGTTTATTTTTTGTTTTTAAGATGTTTATGTTTGGTGGAACGATAACAGGCGCCCCGTGGTGAAGCCCGCGAGTCTTTTGTACCGGTAATTTCACTGCCGACCCCTCTGTACAATGGTATTGTAAGTCATTAGACATTGTAGTCGTTAGTTCAGATGACGATAATTGGTTGTTTTTTTTTGTTAGTATGTATTTTTGTTGTACAATAGTACACGTTTGTATGGAAATCGTGTTGAAGTTATGTAGAGCAAATTAAAAAAATAATACGACTCGCATTCTTCTCATTCTTCTTTTCTTAGAATCAATACTCACGTGTTGACTTGGCTGACCTGATTCCAATATAAAAATAAAAATTATGAATTAACTAAACGTGTTATTGTTATTTGGTGTTATATCAAATAATTTTATCAGGGAACCTAGCAAGGGCCCATCGGCAACCTAATAGAATTTGACGTCATCAACTATGAATCCATATTTGTATAAGCTATAAATATGGTCGCATACTTACTGTAAACTGGTTGTATTAGTCACCTGGTAAAAGGCAAGTCACTCAGAACGAAATCGGACAAGAGGATGTAGATATTGTATTATAATTAAGTGTATTGTCCCAATTCACAGTAGTATTGTTGACTAAGAGAACAAGATATAATTGCAAGCAGCTGATACTTCGCTTCCTCCCTAGAACAGCGTGACGTCATGTTACAATAACCTACAAGCGCCACGGTAAGGCCTATTGGACCATTAATACATATTTCCATAAAACATTGGCAAAACGGGTTGATTAAGTAATAATCGTAAAGTATACATCCCACCGCCCGCGGCTTCGGCCACTTGTTTACACCCATAACAATAAAACTTGCGGCTGTGGACTGCCATAACTCCTTGATCAGCTGACGTCAACAGTTAAAAGGTCGTTATGAAAACAAATACAAGATAAAACATGTTTAGGTACTCTAAGAATGGCAACTGTCAATAAAGTTATCGCATTTTTCATTGATCCAAGAAAATTGTGCAAGTGACTTTTCACCTGAAGATTCATATTATAAACTCAAAACTACTTTCAGGCTGATCAAAAATGTCAAGAAATGTTGTTGATCGAGTAATCTCATCGAAGTACTCACCCTCAATCATCACGGTTGTAACCAGAACCACATTTTCATAATAAAATAAAAGTTATAGACAATAAAATACACGTAATATTAACTAATATTATGCTAATGTAAATTAAGTTTGATAACGGCACGGGCACACCATAGACATCCATCCTCCTTTTATAATTATAAATGTTTTTTGTTTATAGGGCAGGTGTGCATTGTATTAGAATGTTATAATATTAATGTTTTATTTTGGCAAGCGAAGACGCGCCCCGCGGTATGTGAGAATTTTTATATGGTACAAGTGATGAGCGTATTTGCTTTGCTCTATCCATTTACTCTTGTCGCGAAGAACTTAACGGGTTACCGGGGCTCCGGCTCGACGTGCAGGTATAGGAACGGGGTGGTTTTTAGTCAGTAAGAGTCTGACACTCCCTCCCGCCTCACCCAGGCGGGAGCAATCATTCAATGATATTCCCCCCTTAAAAATAAATCATTTACTCTTATCCAATATACTTTAAAACTGACCAAATAAATATGTCACAGATGAGTTGTATTTTATAGTTAAACAATAGTAAACAGTGTGTTTATTATAATATCTTTAATAGTACAGCATTAAACGCTCAAAATATCCAACCAAGTTTCACCGCTCTCAGCTTACAATCTGTCCCGCGTAACAAACATGACCCTCCTTCGCCAGTGGGGGTCCTACAGACCCATGCTCATCAATTATCGCGAGAAGCCCTCACGGTGCCGTAGGATACGTCAACAGGTGCCAGCAGAGACATGGGTAACTTAATTTAGGAAATATTCACGGTAGCCATACCTCAGGCTATGTACATACATTGTATTCACAAAAATATATACGGTCGCAAGTCAAGCGTAAATATAACTTTGTAACATTTGATAAAGGACGCAATTAAATTGTTAGTTTTATTTATATTTTAATATAAAATAGTCATAAAAATATTCATCCGTGTCAGTTTATTGTTGTGACAGTAAAGTTAAGGAAAATATAAAATTAAAAAGATTAACGTGTAACGAACGATCAATAAAAACGCCACCAGCAACATTTATTAAGAAATTCTACACAAGAATACCTACGTAGGTAAGCAATTATCAAAAAATAATACCATAAACATGACAGAGAATATAAATGATAATTGTGTCCCTAATTCTATCTGTACTCATAAATATTATGTTACCATTTTTTTATTTGAGCTGATCATTACATTCGCGTATAGCCGTGATTTATGTTGCCGAAGCGAAGCCGAAAAGTTCCGATCCGTCTCGGCAATAGATCGTGATTAGGCGCGCGCGCAGCATGATCACATACTTACATCTCAGGGCTGCGAGAAGAAAACTCTAGTTTCATTATTTCTACATTTAAGTCACCAGCTATTCCAATATTATTCTCATGAAGATATTTGTAATTATCAACTTATTATAAGCAAATAAGTTATAATCACAGATAAACAACTCATTTAGATAAATATAATCGTTAATTTAAAATCCATGGTAAACAAATATAAATTAGAATAATTGTATTGAATAAGTTATCCAATA